TTGGTAATAAAAATAACAAAATTGTCGATAGCAATATCTTACACATAGATAAATAAGTCACGGGAATTCTCTTAAAATCTATACACAGAACAAATGGAATTATGGCGTCCGGATTACCGCGCTCACCGGATTATCGGGGGTCCGGACTATCGAGGCTCTACTGTATATATAATTGATGATAAGCGCGTGTCTACGGGTTGGAAAATATAGTCTACGAGTGGTGAGCGGGGTGGGGCGAATGCGTTACAACAGTATAGTCTCAAGGTCATACACGACGGGATACGCGACATAATAACACGTGCCGCGTGGAGTTACAAACTTACAAACGANACACGTGCCGCGTGGAGTTACAAACTTAAAAACGACAAACAACATACACGTGAAACTAATGTAAGCGTGTTGAAAAATAAAAACTTTTCTGTGTATTTGTTATAAGGAATCTCTGTTCGGTTTATATATTGTATTGTTGATAAGGCGCTGTAAAACGTATTGTTATATTTGGTTTTCAGTCAGTTGTCATTTTTGCTATCGTTCGATCGTCACCGCACTGTGGTAAAAATTGTAAATAATCATTATATTTTAATAAAAGGCGCCTTTATATAAGGTATAAACAATTATCGTCGTTCGTCCAAATTTTTTATATTTTTTTTTTATTTAGTCCACATCGAAGTTAAAACAGAACCGTTATTTAAAACACTTTTTTTATGAATATCTTATATATTGTTTGATTCTATTAAAAGTATAATCTATTTACATTTTATTTTTTACTGAAATTTCACTCTGACTCCTACTTTAAGGTGCTTTATAAAAAAATTATTTTGAAATAAAATTTAATTGAAGACATTTTCTCTCTCACACAATTCTTATTTTAATTATTTTACATTGTGTAGGAAATAAATACATCTTCTAATTTTAAATTAGTTAGTAACATATTATATCATATATAGTAACATATTTATAAGTACCAAAAAATTATGTTTGCACTTATTTGTAAAGAGCAAAAAATTTAATCTAAGAAATTTTTGTTTATGTGCTAGAAAAAATCATTCCAAATTACATCAGTATTTTTTGTATTAATAATGTAAAACTTTTCTATATTACCTTTCGAAAATATTATTTTATTTATGACATTATTTTTTATTAATTAAATGGTAGTAATAGTAACATGAAAGTTGAAATGTTTCAAAATTATAATTCTACGTATATATAAAACAGATAAAATGTAGAATCTAAAACTTTTGATAATAAATAATCTCTAAAGCAAGTTATAATACCAAGGCTACTCATGTCAAAAATTTGATATATTTTTTTCTTACCTTTTTCTTGATTTTTCATAATACTTTTCATAAATTCCACAAATTCCACTAATGAATTCGGACTAAATAGTTCTAATTAAAAATGAAGTAATATTTTACTAAAGTACATTTAGTATTTAATTAAATAATTATTATTTAAAATATGATTTTTATTTAATATTATATCATAAGATTTATAAAATATAAATATATATTATATGTGTTATATTATATTGTTAAGTTTACTAAAAAATGTTTGATTAAATAATGAGTATTTTATTGCAGTACAATGAATTAATTTTTATGAGCTTCAAAATATTTATTTATATTAAATTATCATTAATGATTTATACACCAATTTAATTATTTTACAATTAATCATTAACCATCATTATCCTGTGCAAAATCGCATAATAAGATTTCGCAAAATTTTCAGTAGATAATAAAACACCCACTTTGTGTTATTAACAATATAAATAGTATTTTTAATATTTTATTATCTCAAGAAAAAATAGAATATCTTTAATTGAAAGCCGCTCTAAATGTGTGTTAATATTATGTTACATTAATATTTCTCGTAAATAAATTAAATCTCAAAATGTTTAGATAAACAGTTTTGCCATAAGGACGATGATTATGTTGATGCTATGTTAATTAATAATGCAGTTAAGTTTTTTTTTATTAATTAGTATACTTTACCATCATTCTTTAGATTCTCCAATATAAAGTCTAAATTTTATAGAGNTACGTATATATAAAACAGATAAAATGTAGAATTTAAAACTTTTGATAATAAATAATCTCTAAAGCAAGTTCAAATACCATGTCTACTCATGTCAAAAATTTGATACATTTTTTTCTTACCTTTTTCTTGATTCTTCATAATACTTTCCATAAATTCCACAAATGAATTCANTTTTCATAATACTTTTCATAAATTCCACAAATTCCACTAATGAATTCGGACTAAATAGTTCTAATTAAAAATGAAGTAATATTTTACTAAAGTACATTTAGTATTTAATTAAATAATTATTATTTAAAATATGATTTTTATTTAATATTATATCATAAGATTTATAAAATATAAATATATATTATATGTGTTATATTATATTGTTAAGTTTACTAAAAAATGTTTGATTAAATAATGAGTATTTTATTGCAGTACAATGAATTAATTTTTATGAGCTTCAAAATATTTATTTATATTAAATTATCATTAATGATTTATACACCAATTTAATTATTTTACAATTAATCATTAACCATCATTATCCTGTGCAAAATCGCATAATAAGATTTCGCAAAATTTTCAGTAGATAATAAAACACCCACTTTGTGTTATTAACAATATAAATAGTATTTTTAATATTTTATTATCTCAAGAAAAAATAGAATATCTTTAATTGAAAGCCGCTCTAAATGTGTGTTAATATTATGTTACATTAATATTTCTCGTAAATAAATTAAATCTCAAAATGTTTAGATAAACAGTTTTGCCATAAGGACGATGATTATGTTGATGCTATGTTAATTAATAATGCAGTTAAGTTTTTTTTTATTAATTAGTATACTTTACCATCATTCTTTAGATTCTCCAATATAAAGTCTAAATTTTATAGAGAAATGTATAATGAAATTCAATTATTGTATATAACTATCAAATATAAGTATAAACAAGTCAATAAGTTAATTTAATTACTCTTTCGTGCATTTAACAAATAAATAACATATATTTTTGGTATTTTTCGTTAAATAAGTAAATTATGGTAAAAACATTTTTTTTTAAAGTAAGTTCAAAATATATTATCAAGCATTTTATATTCTAGTGAAATTTTAAAAATTGTAAAATTACTATTATATAAATTATGATTTTAACAGATACTCATTTTAAAAAAAAAAACTGTGCTGGGTTTTCTTTTTCTTTGAAACTACTTTATAATTTTTTATAATTTCTCCGTAAAATTATTGAATATGAAATACATACTAAATTTAATTACTATAGTTAATATTTATTCATATATAATACTTATAAATCAAAGAATTACTAATTACGATATAATTAAGAAAATAGGAGATGATGTTTATTTTGGAATATTCTATTAATTTCTTAAAATTAAAAACTACCGATTTACTTTGAAGTGTTTCTAATGATAGTTATTTTAATCCTAGTCAAATATCATCTACACTTATCTCAACTATGCTACGTTCACACTGTGCCGCGACAAACCCGTTTTTTAGCTTCGATGCTATTGGTTTTACTAAGATGTGTTTTTTTTTTTGTGTGTGTTACCACTTTTTCTCAGCTCTCACCGAACCGATTTCTTTCAATGATACGTCAAAAGATCACAAATCGTATCTAGTCGAAGACATTACCCTCAAAAATTGAAAAAAATTCCCTCGTTCCCCGTAAATGGGGGAAACATCCAAAAAAATTACAAATTTAAAAATGACTAATTTTCGAAATTTTTTTTACTAAAAACTGCCGTAACTCTTTTAGAAATAAACATATCAATATAATTCTTTTTTTTATAGATGCATGATGTCATCACCTATCATTTGGTATATTTTTTTTTTATATCTGACACTTAACCTACCCACAGGGGGGGATTTTAAATGACAACTTTTTTACAAAAAATTAATTTTTTCAACTTAACTTTTGAAAGTGTTCTGGAAGGTCTGACACTTTTATATATATCTTAAATTAAAGCTAATGTAATATACTTTATCGTGAAAAAAAATTTCGGACTTTATTTTGTCTTCACGGTGAAAAAGGCTACTAAATGCTATTATTGTGTGAAAATGTTCGATTTTGTATTTTACATTTTTAACTTTATTATGCTATAACTTTTTGAAAAATGTATGGATCATTACAATTTTTTTATGAGAAGTAGTATTTATATAGATCTTTCATTCGACATACTTTTTAAATCGGACTATTTCCCTTAATACAGAGGAGATTCAAAACATAAAAATGCATATAGAAAGTAGAACTTTTTCAACTTAACTTTTGAAAGTGTTACGGAAGGTCTGACACTTTTATATATATCTTAAATTAAAGCTAATGAAATATACTTTATAATGGTAAAAAAAAATTTTGGACTTTATTTTATCTTCATGGTGAAAACAGACATTAAACTTAATAAACAAAATACGATTTTTGTAAAAAAATTCTTTTTTATATTTTTAACTTTATAATGCTATAACTTTTTGAAAGATGTATGGATTAATATAATTCTATTTTTGTAGATGCATGGTATCTTTACCTATCATTTGGTATAATTTTTTTATAAATCTGACTTTTTACCTGCCTACAGGGGGGGATTCAAAATGACAACTTTTTCACAAAAAATCGACTTTTTCAACTTAAATTTTGAAAGTGTTCCGGAAAATCTGACACTTTTATATATACAAATATTAAATTAAAGCTAATGTAATCTACTTTATTATGTAAAAAAAAAATTTCGGACTTAATTTTGTCTTCACGGTGAAAATGGCTACCAAATGCTATTAATGTGTGGAAATTCTCAATTTTATTTTTACATTTTTAACTTTATAATGCTATAACTTATTGAAAAGTGTATTGATCAATATAATTTTTTTATGGGAAATACTATTTTTTAATAATACCTTTTTCATTCGACATACTTTATCTTAATCAGGATATTAATAAGGAACTAGCAGTTTATGAAGCTTTTGTAATAATCCACCAATTTTTTAAAATTAAACACTGTCTAAAGATTTGCATCGAAGCGTTTTTTTTTGATAGTGATTTTAATCACTGTCAGATATCATTATACTTGATCCAACTATGCCACGTCACCACTGTGCCGCGACCCCCCTGCGCTGGGTTTTTTTATTGATATTTTTACGATATTTTAATTTTGAGGTATTCTTTTAAATTTATGAAATGAAGAGTTTTTTTTTTAATCTTGGCGCTGATCGACGTATTGATCATTAAATACGATCCTGTGAGAGCTGAGAATTACATAAAAAACATATAATGGTGAAACCAATAACTTCTCAAATTCCAATAAATAAGTAATTTTATGAAAGTATTTTTAAATGTATTTATTCAAAATTAATGATTTATTAAAAATATTATATAAAATATTCAAATATTATCAACTTAACGTATAGATTTTAAAAAATAAACTTCTCATAATAATTTTATTAATTTTTTTAAAACTTATTTAATAGTTTCTTACTTGTAAAGGCCATATTATTTTTTAAAGCTAGAAAAAATGATAAAAAAACATTTTTATAAAGAAAGTTGTTATAATTTTTATAAACTTTTTGATACTGTGTATCATTAATTAAGGTACACGAGGATAGCAAAAACATTTTTTTAAACACGAACTAAATTAGCTACAAAAATGTTTCTGATGGTACAAATTTCCCTCCTATACATGTGTATATGGATGATTTTTGTAAGAAAGTGGTCAGAGTAAATTTTGCCACTTTTAGTTTATTTATTAATATTATTGCAAAAATCTGCTATGAAAAAATAAACTAAAAGGTAAATAATAATTTACTTATGTAAATTAAATTATTTGTTTATTTACTTCTCTTGGCCTACAAATATGCACTTTTTTTAATTCAGTCTTATATATTTATTAACTATGCGTCTGTCACATACTTCACATAACGCAAGTTTAACAAATGTTGGGTTTAGATTGTTAATAACTGCTGAAAAAGAAGTCAAAAATATGTTATTGACAATACATTTTCTTAGATCATTATCTATTAAACTATCTAGCTAATTATATATGTTGGCATCTGAAAAATATCAAGTTGATACTCCTATAAAGTATAAGGAATAAATAGAAAATATGATTGATAAAATAGGAGTTATCAGGTATTTTTATTTTAATTTCTCCCACATAAATGTCATCATAATCGGTTCCAGCAGTTTGATTTTTAAATCAAAATAAGTGAGAAAATATAAACCCAACCCGAATTAACTAAACCGACTAGAAAAAAAAAACAACAACCAAAAAAAAGTCTACTAAAAAATATCTGCTACGAATAAATGCACTAAAAATAACTTCGCATCTATTTACTTCAATTGACTTACAAAAATCCATTTTTTTCAATTCAGTCTTATATTCTTATGAACTATACCTCTGCTTCATAATTCAAATAACACATATAAGACTAACAAATAAATATAGTACTTAAACAGAAATTAGAAGTATATTTTTAGACTGCTTATATTACAATCAATCTATTAGGGTAATAACATACAATCATTGTTATTATTGGAGTCGGTAATGGTGGCCATACACGTTATGGTCTACCGTAGAGGTGTACCTGCTCAGGCATGCCTGTGCAGAATACTAGACGTCGGATGTATCTCCGGCGTACCAGAACGGTCTTCAGTTTTTTCACGATGGCATCGAACGAGATCACTGGCTTTGTTAGCCTTTGTGTTAATTATGAAAAAAAAAGAAACAAAACCAGCGAAAAGGAAACGAAACAAGTGGTGTAAGGAAAAATGGACGAGAAAACATACCTAAAATTACTTTCAATACATAAATACATAAGACTGAATGAAAAAAGAATATTTGTAGGTCAATTGAAGTAAATAAATAAATAATTTAATTTACATAAGTAAGTTATTATTTACTTTTTAATTCATTTTTTCATAGCAAATTTTTTAGTCAGTTTTTTTTTTTTTGTAAAAAGATTTTTAAATAATTACATTTTTCATGATAAATTCTTAGTTTTCATTAATGAAATTGTATTTATTTATTATTGTAAGTATTCTACTATTATAAATAATTATAACAGATTTACTATACAGGGTATTTGGCTAACTATGTCTCACGTAATATCTTTAAATATACAAGTGTTATAAACAAATTTTTTTTTTATCATTATGAATCTTTGATGAGCTGTTTCATATGAAAAATCAAATTTTTATCATCATCCCTTATACTTAGAACTTGTATCAACCTATACTATTTTTATATTTTTTTGTTCGTCATAAAAAAAAATTAAAAATTGTAGTAATTTGTGTGCTGTACTAGTGAGGCGGTGTGACCTAGCGCTCCATCAAAGGTAGGGCTAAGTGAGTCTGATTAGAATAGTCAATGACTACGGTATGAATATCTGTTCTGTGTATTTTTACTCAATTTTAAGTCTATTAGAATTATCCGTGTATTTATTAAAACTCTTATTCCTTATAAAAACATAAAATTTATTTATTGTAAATGACAACATACATATTTAACTAGCTTCTTAAATAAAAAATGGTCTAATTAAGAAAATGTCTGGTCGATAACAAAGTTTAACCAAAATTTGTTAAGAAGTTGTCAGTATTTTAATATATAGATTGAAAGTATGGTGCGGTTATATTATTTTTAACATTATGTATTACTCTACTATGATAGGTATTTAAAACAGTTAGTAGTCATAAAATTGGTTGATGACCTCCTAAATAGTGAAAATAAAGATAATTTAACACGTGCTATATACGTCAAATATTTAAAATTTTAAATTACCATTGCACCAAACAAAATATTATTAAAATAATGTTTATTTTAGAATATTTTAATGCGTTAATGTAAAAATAAGTATTAACTTAAAAATAAAACAATCTAATAACTGTCAGAGCTATGTCTTAAATGATAATAGCATAGTAAAAGTTTTTTTTCCTTTTTAAGAGAGAAAATGACAAAGTATAATTCAATTTTTAATTTATTTTACCTTCAGGATCAGTGCTAGAAATTTCATTTACAACACAAAAAAGAAACAGAGCCAAAATACTAATTGACATTTTTACTTCTTATTATTGCTATCTAAAATAAATAAATTAACTATAATAATCATTTAATATTTCGTAAAATAAAAAACATTTCATACAACTACTCTAACTTTTTTATAATATTAATGTTATACAAAATATTGTACTTACTCGAAAAAAGCTTTTTTCTATTAAGATAAAAATTAGAAAATCGCATTATATACTTCAATATTTTATTTGATATTTAAAATAACTAGTATATGTTGTTTTTCATTAACAGTGAAGCAATTGTCAATAAATCAAATTTATAATTAAACAATATCAGAAATATATCGTTCAAAATATGTTTTCTATTTACTTTTCCTTGTATTTATTTTAACAACTTAAAAATGATGTCATAAAATTTCATATGTATTTTTAAAATTTATCCGATATAATGTATAATTTTAATTTTTAATGTGTTAATCATATTCAATTTATATTTCATTTAAAATTTAAATAAATTTGAATATTTTGTTGCAAACTTTAGATTCTATATTTTATAACCGTAGTTTAAATAATAGACCTTTTTGGTTTTCATTTTTATATTTTACAATATTAAATAAATTTTCATGATTAAAAAATAATCATTTAGAGTCTAAAAACAAAGTTCTTTGTTATATAAAGAATTACATTTTTATAGTAATCTAATCAGATAAACCAAGTATAATATGTATTGTATGTCATTTCACCTAAAAATATTTTTACAAAATGACAAAAAGATAAACTAAACAAATTGTCATTGAACACAGGAACGGATATTTGATAGGTATGAAAAATGGACAGTGTCCATTTCTCATAACTCCTTAAGATTCGTGAGAGGTGTCCAATGGATCAACTGCGTAAATATAGTTGTCCAATTTGTCTATTTCTATGAGGCAAAATGAGGAGCTTTCTTTTGTGAATAACATGTTTGTAAGAGACGAATACGGTCAACGCATCTTCAAAATAATATGACAATTCTATTACTTATTATCATTCTTATATTTGTGATAAGCCATTAAAAAAATAATGAATCAAATTAAATTTAGGAACATTTATGTACTTTATATTCATGGTCTACGATACGCATGGAAAAATGTTATTTTTTTAATAACAATATAGGAGCTATATTCCTTTTATCTCTAATTATCTGTTAATTATTTAATAAGTCATAACTTTTAGAAAATTTAATTAAGTTACCTGATTTCAATAATTTTGAGTATCGAATAATTTAAGTTATTTTATTATCCGTGATATTAAAACTATAACATATTTGTTTCCTTTGTGAAAAATTACAAAAATATAATACTAAAATCAAAAGACATTCAAATCTGTACAATCATTCAATATCACAACAATAAAAAATGGAATTAAATGAAAAAAACACACTCTTGGCCTTAAAAAATAATAATCAGATAATAAGATATTGCTAACACATGTCAAATTTAATGAAACCATTGCACTTTCCTAGTGTTTAATCCTTAAAAGAGCCCACTAGCGTAAAAGATAAACAAAAAAGTATTTTAACAAAAAATAAATAAATAAATGTAAACACATATATATGAAAAAGACATAGCACTGACATTGAATAACAGTATGTAATCACACGGGGTCATCTGTAGACTAAGAAATTACAACGTACTGGTCGATTCATTAAAAATAAGCAACTCGTTTTTCTTTTTTTGATAACTATGCAAAATGTTTTCTTTAATTCAAAAAACCCTACAATAAAATGTAGTTAAATAAACTTTTTTCGTCCTTTCAGGAATACAAACCTATACTTTAATTTGCATTAATGGGAACTGCTATTTTATCTTTATTGAGATGATAAAAAAACATTCCTAACAATATTGCTTTCATAATTTTTTTTATCCAATAAAATATTCTTCCATTATTGCTTTATTAATTTTAGCGATTTTTGACCAATATTCTATTGATAATTTGATGTTTAACATACAGTAGTCGTCAACAGATACAACTCGATATTATCCATCATACAGAAATATAATCCTTATAATTCATGTCTATCAATAGTACCACACTCTAATATTCAATCAAAGTTTATCATTGTGCATTGTTTAGCGATTGGTTGTCGCGGTCGCATCGCACTTCAGGTGTTATCGTTGAATGGCGATCGCGGTGCTTCCTCTTCACGACCGATAAAGTCAGGCCATGTAAGGTGGGCGACGGGCGGCGTGAACCGGTCTTGCTGACGCCGGCATTATGTTTTTTATGTTCTGAAGAAGTATTGTACGGATCTCAATTGACTCGGTAAGATAAAATTTATATAAATTGATCTGTGTTTGATATACACCTTTTCCTTTTCGCATTAAAATTACTATTTCAAATAATATTATCAAAAATTGAACTTCCCAGTGTAACAAATTATTTATTTATTAATTACCTAACACTCCAACATAATGTGAAAAAATGTTTTTGTTTAATACTACTAAAATAATTTATGAACAATTGAAACATATTATAATTGACTTCAATATTATTTATACTAAAGTAATAATGGATTTGTATTTAAATCCAAAACTTTAAATAATTTAAAAACGCAAATGATTGATCAGATAAAAAAATAATGACTAAAAGAACAAAATCGTTTTAAATTTTTTTTTTTTTGATCATATCATCAAACTTAAAATATCGGTTTCCATTGATGTTATGATGTTATCCCTGAAAGGATGGAAAAAAATTTAATTTCATATTATTGTAGAGTTTTTTTATTAAACAATATTTGTCTATACGATAATTTTATGTTGTTTATAATAACCAAGAAAATTATTGTCTTTACTAAACAAATACAATATTTTTCAAAAATAATTTAAATTTACAAATATGTTTGATCTAAATCATACTCATACCTATTTTGCAAGAACGATATAATATTATTTTTTTACGACGTATAATTATATATTCCGACGCTACTGTTTCTTAGGTAAAAATATTCTTTTAAATGCGACCTAACAAGGTTCAAACAAGACTGTAGTTTAAGTGATATGAGAGGTGGAATATTCCTCCAAGACAAATTAAGATTTTTTAGTCGACTAATTTATGATTTAACGACAATTAACGACTCACTATAATTTAATTGAGCAGTTAAGAGTTTTTCAGCTCTTAAAGTTTTCTTTATTAATTTATATTTTGTGTTACACCCCATAAACTAATTAATATTTATGCTTTGATGAATTATCTTTTGTAATATAGTCAAAATATTTTAAATTAACTAACACAACAATTTTAAATTATAGTTTTAAACATTTGGAATATTGGAAATTTCTATTTTTACCAACAGGCTAAGCAGTTTATTGTAACACTGTTTATTCAACTTTTATAAAAATTTAAACATAAATGTTTATATTATATTATCGCCAGAGACTATATGAAATAATCTGTGATACTGCATTACCATATTGATGTAAAATTTTCTTTATTGTTAACTATTTGAAATTGTTTTATTTATTTTTGAGTTTATTTTGCAATTCCGTCAATATCATGCGGTTTTAGGCTGTTTAATTGCGCCGTGAAGTTAAAAGTAGACTATTTTGTGTCTATAACGTAAATTGTTCCGCGGACAGCAATTTTAAAAGTCCGTTTTCGGCCAAAATTTTGTCGAGTTTTTCTGTTTGTCCAATTAACAAATTAAATGTTTGTAATCGGTTTTAAATAATATCAATTTCATTATCGCGGTCGGATAACGTGTCGAATTTTTTTTCCAAAAAGTCCATACTACTATTTTTTGTGTTATCTAAAAATTTTATTTGGCTTATGCTTTCGACGCCGCCCTATTGATTTTTGCAACATCGTCAAAAATAGTTTTGTTAGCTGTTTTTTGGTTTCCGTATCCAAGTTTTCGATTTTAAATTTATTATTCTGTCGGATTTAGTTTCCTGCGAATTTATGTTACGTTTCCGCAATTCTTTATTTATTTCGTCGATTTTATTTCCATTAATTGTTTAATCATTTTAATATAAATGAATATACTTTAATGATTAGGTTAGCATTAACGAAAAAAAACTTTTTCTAATATCCCAAACTTATCTATTTCCGTGTTAGCGGTCTAATAAATATAAATCTGTTATAATTAAAAAAAATTGTATTATTTTCACGGTAATTATAGTTATTTTTTAATAATAATTATTTTATAATAATTAATTATTAATTAAAATAATTGCCAAACTACTTTTTTCTTTCTTTGTTAAACAATAAAAAGAGAAAAAAAATGTGTAGTTCGGTACTTTTTATTATTTCCGCGTTCAAAGAATATAATCAAACTTATTTATTTCCGTCGGTACTGTTTAATAAAATCGGTTTTTAATACTTTTGCGGTAATAAATAAGTTAAAGACGATCTAACTAGTTCTCTGTTAGTACTTTAACATATTTCCGCGGTATTATTCGGCTCCAGACTTATTTATTTCCGTAATGTCGGTTTAATAAATACAGTTCGGCTGTTTACACTTTTATATATGTTTACTCGGTACGGTAATTTCTCAAATTTTATATAAAATTTTCTTAGAAATAAAACGTTTAACCTATTTATCTTCGTAGGTTCGGTTTAATAAATAAAGTCAGTAGTTTAGCTAATTTTTTTATTCTCGCGGCACCGTAACGTAAGCGCGTATCGCCGGCCGTCAAAAAAAATAAGTATACTGCACAAAAAAAACTAAAATCGCAAAAAAAATGTTTTACACAGATAATTTGTACTTACGATTTTTTTCTGTTTTCTTCACAAATTAGTTCGTCCAGTCGACTGCACTAATTGTCGCTGTAGCGCTAAGCGATGACAACAAATTCTAACTAAGTTAATTTGAATTAAAGTAAACTGAAACTTAAATAATAAGCTCCACACGATTACTTTATTTTACAGATATGATAAATATATTACGACGAACTGTATCAGTACACGATTCAACAGAGATAATTATATAACAACAAACTATGACAATACGTGCACAGACCAAGAAAATACATTTATACAAATATTGTAAAATTTAAAATAAAGTAAGACTCTATTCTATTTAAATAAGTAATAAGAGACCAGTGTTGCTACAACAAAGTGTATGGATGATAAATCCGACATAATGTAAATAATTTGTTTTTAGTATGTAAAAAAATAAATATACAGAGTGTCCTACCATTCGTGTGTGGTTTCCATTAATTTTTATGTGTACATGATATTTTAATATGAAAACAAATATTTTTTATAATTATTTTTTCTGAAAATCTAAAAATCTCAAATTATCGTATACTCCTTTTCCTTCAACGACTGATTCGAAAGGGAACTTAAATTGCACTGTCTGTACTTTTGGGAAATCTGGCATCAGCTTTATAATCTGCATTTATACCACTGTTATAATGCATTTTATCAATATTATTAACAAAATGTCTTAAAAAGTTGTCATTTGAAGCTGTCGTTCCATTGACTAATTTATAACAATTTTAGCACATTGCTGTTAAATGTTATTATGATTCGATTTGCTTAGAAAAAATTCACCAAAACAAATAATTAAACGGTATATTTTCCTCTGAATTATAATTTTCTAAAATATCAATAATTGTGTTGATATTTATTCTTTTGTTTACTAAAGGTAACACACAGTGGTACGTAGTTAACACGTACCACTGCAATCAACCAGTTATGACTTAATTGGGAGCGATAGGCTTGGGCATATCTGTTTGCTATCAGTAAATAGGCCTCTCTAACACAGCCATACCAAGTGAAAGTAATAATAACTTGTCACGGGGTAGTTATCCGAATGGTAAAGTGATCATTGGGATCCTCTATGGCATCAGGCGCACCTTAGAGTATTCAGCTTTAACACAGCATCGAGCTCTGCTATGATGGACCTTTATTTCTCGACTATTTATGGTATCTACACGAATAAAAATATTGGAAAACCACAAAACAACGATTAATTATCTTAAGTGGTAGTCAAACTGCTCTCAAAGCTAGTTCTTGAATGTATGGAAACTTTAGAATCACTAGCAACATTCTATAAAGATACACTAACATGGGTACCACAGCACAGCGGTATGACTGGTAATTAAAAAACAGACTCTCAAGCGAGAAAAAGTGTAGAAAACATCTACGTCGAACCAGAACCAGTGGTGGGACTATGTCTATTAAATATTCTATAAAGATAATATTCTGAAATCTCATTTGCTATGATAAAATTGATAAAGTAATAAAGGCTATTTATTGATGTTGATCGATAAGATAAAAAATCAACTCATTAGTTAAAATAAAATGGTTACTATTTAACTAATTACAATTAAAAGTAGTGTAATCCAAAACGTCAACACATAACTGAAAACGTGGATATATCCGTAAACATTTTAAGCAAAAGAAAAGTACAGTTGCAATTATGTGAATTTTCTTCAGTGAATAATTTTAGCTTCGATGCGTTTTATTACTATTTACATGTAAAATTAGCTTAAAAAAATTAATTAGATCACGATATTGCCTTGCAAAAATAGATTTCGCCATTATAAATGATTTCTTCTTTGGTTCAATTTAAATATAAAGTATGTCTTATATGATGAATTGCAATCTCTATTATTGTTGAAATGTGTTTGTTAATTAAAAATTATAGAAGGGTTGATTAGTAGAAGATCTTAAAAATGCCATCTGTACTGTGTATACATAAATAAAATTATTTTTAACATGAAATTAGCAATCAATTTTTAGATTAAAAATGATTTTTCAACTACTTACAATTAAGTAGTAAAAACACCTTTGTTTACCTTGAAAATATTTTTAAGATTTTCTTTTTGGCATTCATTATTAAGTCTCGCTTGCTTAATGTTTACACAAGAACAAGTATAAATAGGTAATTGAACATAAAAGAATTTATTATATCAGTAACTTCATTTTTTTTTTTGTAACTATACATTTTTTTTTGTTTTTTTTTTTTTTATTTTTTTTTATAATGGTAAGCTAAACAGAAAATCAAAAATTGTATAAACTTAGATTGATGAATAAAAATCTATCCAATAATATAATACATTTATTTGTTAGGGATCTAATGTTAAATTGATATACCTAGTAATTTTTATACTTTTTTCAAATAAAGGTAATGTTATTTGAATTTATTATATTATTTTATATGTTTACTGAATTTTATCCCATTAGTTTAAAGAATTAATAAACTCAATAATAATAATAGTATTTACGTCGATTAATTAATTAAACGTATTATATATTTTCAGCATTTAGTATGCACTCTAGTATTAGAGCTAGATCGAAATACGGTAAATTGTATAAATTGATAAATGTATAATAATTATTACAACACGCTTTTGTCTTTGCTTTTTTAGGAAATTTACTGAGATTTCTTTGTTTTGAATTATTTAATGATTCCGGTAATTTTTTCTTTATAAAACTAAGTTGAGTAATATTAAACATCAAATAAATTTTCAATGATATAAATATTTACTAGAAAAATAATAAAAACAACTAATAATTTTGAAATTAAATTTTTCATGTGTTTTTAAAAATTTTAGTATAACAAAACATTTTAATTTACATACAATGATGAAATTTTATGATAATTAAAATGTAAGTTAATTACTTCAACACTTTGTTTATTTACTTACTTCTATTTTAGACGATGATCAAATTTCGACTCAAGGTAAAATTTGAATTCAAAGTCTTAATTATACGTAATTAATAAAAATTATTACTTTATTAAGATAGTTTATAGTACTACTAAAAAAAGGTTGTTTTATTTTCATAAAAATATAATAAAATAAATGTTGTAAAATATAAATACGTGTTAAGTATAATTGCAATGTTCCAACAATTATTTTAATAATTAAACCATTATATTTTACACATTAAAGTACGACAAAAATTTATTTGTTCAATAGTAAACGCCTTGCGCCATACACATGTATTTAAAAATTACACATGGCATAATATTTAGAAAATAAAAAAAGATTTTACACTACGCCAATTCTAAAGTAAACTTAAGCTTAAATGTATAAAAATTGAAATTATATGTATACTATAGATTTTTTCATACACAGAAACTACGAAACATCTTTCTAACAAAAATCGACTTAATATACAGGTAACTAGAAAGTCAAAGTCACAAATAAACGTGCCTAAGGGTTTACTCTCAAAAAAGCCTCAAAAAAAGCAAAATAAGGTCCTTTTTTACAAAACAAAAAATAATAAAAGGATCCACGAAAACGTTTTTACATTGGGTAACCAAAAAAAAATTATTAATATACTACTTAATATTTCTTTCATACTTTTTTCGATATTTAGAATTTTTATTTGATTTTCATAAAAAGTTTTATTTTTAACTTAAGTTAAGTTAATAGATCTCTACACCAGTTGCGCTTTAAGCGTCTCGGAGGATTACCAGGAATAACATTAGTTGAAAGACTTTTTATTAGGGGATTTGAGTGGGAGGCTAGTCGAGTGTGGAATCTTTTATAATATGTTATTGCTTCTTCTTTAACAGTTTTAATTTTTAGATCATAATGTAGGGCATAATTTGATACGTATAGAGGGGAGTTAGTTAATTTTCTTAAAGAAATATTTTGAAATGCCTGAATACGATTTATATTTGATTTTTTAGCATTTCCCATAGTTATAGACCATAGGTCCAAATGGGTTTAATAAGGGACATTTTTTACGATTTCATTAAAATTATTTTCAATAAATGAAAATATATATTTAATGAAAATTGTGATTTTTTTTATTTTAAAGGCCGATTTCTAATAGTAGAACAATTTTCGAACAAAATTCTTTTTCTAATATTGTAATACACTTTAAAAACTTTAATTATGTATAAGTTAAAAAACGCAATTATTCCGGCAAATTTTCAAAATGTAAATTGAATAAATATATGTTGTAGATTTTTTCCGTNATCTAAAGATTAAAATTAATTACCATTTAAATTTTAAATTTGTTTTTGTTCTTCTGATAAATTAGCGTGTCACCTCTTAGAAAAATCTTAGAAACAGAATTAATATAAGCGATCCATCCATTTCCCATTATTATCTAGCCCTTTCCAACATATTAAAAAGTATTATTAAGTAAAACTGGATATCAAGGTGATAAATATTAAAATTAAATAAAAGTGTTAAATCAATTTAAGTAAGTTTCATTATTTGTTACTTTTTCGGGAGATTTCACTAATACATATTTAAGTATATTTAATAATTAAATATACTTAAATATGTATAGTGAAATCTAATTTAATTATTAAATAACCAAACAATAATTAAAAAATATTTAATATTATTTTTTAGTTTCTTTTAATTTTATATTAACTAAGTTAAAAACACAAATATCTCATAGCTTATAAATTAATGTACTACTTTAAAATATTAAATGTTGTAAAAAATTCATATTTAGCGTATTTTGATGCAATTTTTTAACAAAAAATATTTAAGTATTATAACTATGATAAATTTTTCAACTTTCTCATTTAATAATCTAAAAATACTACTTAGTGCTTATTGATTCATATAAAACCCTTTCTTTTACAATAGTTTTGGCTATAAAGTTTTGCGATTATTTTCGTCATTTTACCCCATAGCTAGAAAAAGATGACGAAAATAGCAATTTTTAGAACAACTTATATTTTGTCCCTAAATTAAAAACAAAATCGAAAAAATAATGGTATAAGGCAACATATTGAAGAAGTACTAATACAAATTTTAGATTTAGAATACCTTCGCAGAAGTCAGGAAAAGTCATAAAAGCCTAATCTCGTAGTATTACCTTATCCTACATTATTATAAAAATTATATAATTTTTCTTATCAGAAGTTAATTAAATTCAATGATTAATAAATTTCAACAAAAAATTTGATCCTATCCCTTTAAAATTTTATCAATTCAAATTTTTAAAGAAAAAAATGTATAACTAGTTTCTTAGTAAAATAATTTTTTTATTTTTGACCTGGTTAAACATTATTTTATCATTTATGAAACTTAAATGATAAAATTTTAAAGGGGTAGGAAAAGGGATGAGATCAATTTATATTTTTTGAAAAACTATAAGACATAGAAATACTTTAACTACTATAATGAAAACTTCACATTACGTTTTATATTTTTAAATATATTACGTGAGTCATAATTGAATAATCTGTAAAAATAAATACATAATTTTTTTTTATTTTGTATAAAGAAATAGCTTAAATTACTGTAGTTTAATTTTCAAAATTAAAAAATGCATTTCTAGTTATTTGTCGTAATTATATTTAGTCAATAATAATTTTTACTGTCGATATCTTGTTTTTAGGCAATTTAAACATAGAAGTGGATTTAATTTAATTAATTCAAATACATTATGTGGTTAAAAAAAAAAGGATATATTATAGATTTTNAGTTAAAAAAAAAGGATATATTATAGATTTTTCTGAGAAACGCAATTTCAACAAAATATATAGTGAGCAACCCAACTTCGTTCCTACATAATAATAGCTACTTCTATATAAATTCACATATAATATATATGAGGAGGTCTGTTGCAGAATTTGAGGGCCTCAGTTCTCCCAAAATCTTTTAAATTGTGTCTTTAATAAAAAACAGTTAATAAATAAGTTAGTAAATATTACAAGAGAAATAATAAATTTTCAAAAATGCTAAACAATTTAATTTATTATATAATTTAATTTACTTGAGAATTTTAAAATTATGTTAGCCTTTCAGTTTTGTAATTTTGTACACTGATATTTTTGTACTCTTTGTGAAAACACTAAATTCACTGTACTATAAAATTAAAATGTGTTAAAAACAAATTAATTAATAGTATAAAATTTATTATTTTAGAAGTTGGACAATGTAGTTCAAGTAATAATTTTAAAAATTATATTTACTATCAAATAAGTTTTANAAGTAATAATTTTAAAAATTATATTTACTATCAAATAAGTTTTAACTAAATAAAAAGATATTGTTTAATTAACTAATCGCAACTACACAAACAAAAATTTCGCGAAATATTTAAAGAGTTAAATTGCTTATTAGTACTATTATTAATGTAGTTTACATGAGTGTTGTGGGAACTTCAGGACCCGTAGAAAAACGTATAACCCCCACAAATAAATCGAATATTTGGGTTGAGAGGAGATAGAAAAATCAATGTGTTAGATAAGTTAGGCCTATTATCAAAAATTATTAACAGATTATGAGACTATAACGCTCAAAGACAATTTTTATGCTATGCCCTTGAGTACTATTATTATACAATTATTTAATACTATTATATATTTATATATTTTTCAATAATTTCTAAAAAATCTAAAATGTTTAAATAAATAGTTTTATAACAATGCATTTAACGGTTTATAACATTTTTTGTGAACCCATAACACATAGTTCAATATTGAAACCACACAAAATATCAATTTTTTCAGTATAAATAATAATTTTCACGTTATCCCCAATGTAAATGAAATTTTAATAACACCTGTATTTCGAAAAATAACTTAGCTATATTGAATTGGATTTACGAGTATAAAATTAAATAATGAACTACAACTTAGAGATATAAACTTAAAATTTACATTTTTTGAGTTGTTACAATTTTTAATTTGCTATATATGTGCTTATATATAATCATATGATAATTAAAAATCAGTGTTAAAAAATAAAAACCTTTTTATTTTAAAATGGGCTCAAAAAGTTTTTGTTTTGTAAAAATTAACCTGATATATACTTGTTGCAACAATTCTTTAAAAATGTGTTAATATTAATTAAAATAATCTTTAAAGCAATAATTATAATTATTTAAATCAATCAATTATTGATGTGTTATTTTAAATTATATCTTTATTTTGTTGATAAATATAATATAATTAGTAGCATATTATACATTGTGTCATGTATTAAAAACACTATTCGTCTTTTTTTTATTCAATAATGAAGTTTTCATAAAAATGCAAACTATAGTAGATATTTTGTGTTGTTGATATATTTGTTGAATTATTTCTAAGGATAGATTTTAGGAGTAACTTTCGAAAGTTAAATGAGAACCTATTAATATTTTTTTACTATTAAACGTAGAATGGTCTATAAAATGTTGTCTGGTCAATAACTAGATTTGTAATATTACCTTTTGAAATATAACAATTAAAGATTAAGAAAAGGCGAGAGTGGGGTAGTGTTTAGCGATGCTCTATTAACCATGACGCACAGATAAGAATTTCTTCTACGTTACCCACTCATCTCGCCTATAATTAAAAGTTATATAAACTTAAAAAGTAACATTACAAAAGTGAATAACGACCAGTTTATTTTGACCGTTCGTCATTTAATTATTAAAAAATAACGATGGATTGTGTTAGGATTTCATTTAACTTTCAAATGTTACCCCAAAAATGTACCCTTGAAATGATATTTCTTATAATAAACGTAAAATCCACTATGTTTCATAAAAATAAATCAAATTTTAATTTACTCATTTAAATAAATAAAAAATTATTATTTGACGAAAAATGCTACCCCTACATTAGAATTCTTAATAAATTACACTGTATATTGCCATAAAACTTAAAAACGAATTTTTTTTAACTCTTAGGTAACAACCATTTACCGTCAGGTAATTTTTATTTATAAATATCTACATAATAGCTATAAAAAAATTAACAGTGATTTAGACATGATATAAAAAAATGAATGTTTTTTAATCTGTCATTTAAAATAAAATTTAATTATTCATAGATACATGTGTAATATGTATGGAAGAAAAAAAAACTGTTTCAATGTTACCTTGTAAACATGAGATTTGTAATACATGTACAATATATTCTGTAGTCCATTTTAAACTTGAAAATTGTCCAATATGTCGAGTTAAAATTTCCACGATGATTGGAGTACGTAAGTATGAAAGTTATAAGTTTTAAACCTTTTTTTTCCTCGGCCGGCTTATTTTNTTATAAGTTTTAAACCTTTTTTTTCCTCGGCCGGCTTATTTTGAGCCGCCCTGGAACTGCTGTTAGGCATTACTTCAGGGCGGCTCACGCCGTCTTAATAATTCACACCACCACGTTGTGAATCAGCCCGAAATTAATCAAGAGCTAATTCGCAACGTGGTGTGGTCCCCTCCCGTTAACCGGATCACAGAGTGAGAACTGTTAGGGAGGGTTGGTAAAATAACTCACAAACAAAAACAAGAACCTAAGGCACCGGCCTAAACCAGCGCCTCAGGTTCTCCTGTGCCGGGCGACGTGGCTGCATCTGTCTCAGGCGTTCTGCTTCCTCCTTCTTTAACAAGATGGATCCGACGAACGCCTGGACGAGCCTCCACGCCTCCCGACTCCTCAACATCAGGTCCACCATGAACCCGACTCCTCAACATCAGGTCCACCATGAACCCGACTCGGAACGTGGACCCTAATCGGGACTCCAAAGAGCCTCGCACCGGAAGAGGGTGTACAGAGCGCTGTCGGCCGGGCGATCCGAATAGTGGTCGCACGTCGGCGTGGCTGCTTTGCGAATAAGGTGAAAGTACTCGTTAAAGTAGCCGTGGCCGGACATCACTTGGGTGCGACGATATGACATTTCACCATTAAGTTTAGACCTTACAATACAAAAATTGGAGTACATTTTTGTTTTCGCTATACATTTCTTTTTTAGCTTTCTTTAGCGTATGGTGCATAATCAGTAAAATTTATGTCTTTAACGTTTGAGGTACGAGGTTTGAACACGCCTAAGATAATGAATTTCTTTGCATTTTTTTCTTAATTCTTTTTAAGATGGAAAAAAATAATTCATTTTATTTTTATCTCATTAAAATTCAATAACTTCAATAATTATTAAAACCCCATCACTGTAGTCTCCTCAAGTTAAATTAAATTTCTTATACATATTAAAATTATTTTACTCTGTGGTTTTTTTAGAGGACTGTCATTTAATTTCTTGGCTCACGCTTAACCTACTTTCTTCAACGATTACAATTCGTATCTAGTTGAAGACTAGATCTATATTTTTACATAGTTTATTTCTATACTGTTTTTCATGATAAAAAATATACACTTTATAGTGTTCAGATTACTGTAAACACTAAAACTTACCGTGAATAATAATAGTTATTATTATTCACTGTGATGAGTGCAAGCCAATTATAATTTACAATTGATTTACACTCGAATGTAAGTTAATTCAGAGTACTCTTTAAAAATTACATCTTTTAAAAATATATAGTTTGTAATTATTCTTTCAGAGCCGAAAAAACTTTCAATTCTTGAGTATGAACGAGACTATTTTACCAACAATACATTCAAAAGAAATCAAAGTGATACATATCAAAGGATGACACTATTGACACTTGAAAATTTTCAAGAGCTTCACAAACGTATAGAAAAATTTAAGATTACAAACAATGAACTAATCGCAAAATATTATTATTTACGACGCAATGAAGAACCAGATTTAGAACTTTTAAAAGATATTCAAGTGCTAAATTCTAATAAAAACTTTTTTTTATCCGAGTTACGTGGATGCCTTTTAAGATGTAGAAATCTGTCAATGGAGTTGTTAGTGTACACAGAATGGTTTGAAACTCAACTAAATAATTTTGAACAGAATATGTTACGAAAGTATTATTCTAGAAAAGGACTAAATGCCGACAAAGAATTCGTCAAACGAAAAGAATATACTTTCAATCCAATGTAATTAGATTTATATTAAATCTATTTATACTTATTAAATTGATAAAATATAAATAAAAAGTTCTTCTTTGAATATCTTAGATAATTTTCAATGAGTTGCATTTATTTTACTACCTTATTTTAATTATTCAAAACAAATTGTTTGGGGTCAAATGAATAGATTCAATTTACCGAGTTAAAACCGTATGGAAGTATCTATTATTGAGATTAATTAAAAAAATTTCAGTTTAAGATATATTTTAAATTTCATTTTCGCATTCTTAAATTGATAAAGAAAACAATAAATACTTAAATAACAACTATTTCAATTAAGACTGAGGAAATGAGATTTTTTCGTATGTAAAAGTTATTTAGTTGTTTTTTCTAACCTTCATTATTTGATAACAAAATAGTTATAGAAACTAATTATTCTATTATTTAAAAATCTTCATTTGACTAGAATTCATTAGATACACCAAGAAATATTTGTTAATCATGGGTACAAAATTTTAATTCAATGGGCAATTAAGTATTGAAGGGACTCTTAGAAACTAGTTTCTAAGATATTTAAAAAACGTTAAAAATATTTTTTAGACTCATCATCATACGCATACTAATATTTTTTCTATTTTTTATTAATGATACTGGTTTAAATTTATACTCATATCACATTAAATATATTATACTGCTAAAAATATAATAAATTTAAATTTAAATTTCCAACATTATTTATTTAATCAATCCGTACATAATTTACTGATTTTCATTTAAATTGGTTTACATTTTATTTTATACATACTTTGATTTAATATTAAGCGTCAACAGAATGTTATCAAGTTACGGTAATTTAATTTATCAAGTTTAATTAAATTTTTTATTTTCACATTGAATTTTCTTATAGAGAATTTATTAAGATTCCTTTGCTTTTGCTGTTTTGGCGATTTTAGTATGTAAAAAATTTTTCGATAAAAATAGCCATAACATAACTATGTTTGAGCTAAAATATTTAATTAAGTATTACTATGCCATCTACATATATTTTAAAAAAATATGTTATATTTTTGTCAAGTAATCTTTATATGTTTGTGATAAATTTTTTTATATTATTCCTAATATGACAGGTTTATCTTTAAAATAATTTTGTTTATATGACCATAATACAATACAATAATTACAATAGATTTAGTAAAAATATGTTTTCTTATACTTATGTGATTAATTTTAGATGATAATGAACCTATGATTCACGGTAATAAGTTATTTGAAATTATACTCACTATTTGCAACTTTTTGATTGACTTAAAATAAATATTTATAAAATTTATGTAGTGCTATTAAATCCAATTTTTTTAGGAATAACATATAACGTAAATTATTTTAAACATACATACGGAAATATACTGTTTTATTGTTAATTTGAAAAAATAATTTTTTTACAATTCATATTTTAAATTGATACCATCTTAAGGTAATACTACATGACATAAATAGCATATAAAATTATTGCATTATGTTTACTTAAACACTATATAATACTTTGTCATATATGCAAAAAATCACTATTATTACACGTGTTTCTTTTTTAATTTAACAAATGTTTGTATTCAAATTTTAATAGTTTAAAAAAATAAAAGGAAACTATTAAAAACAATTATAAATATTTTTAACAAAGTTATATTATTATTGAGTTAAATAATATTAATGTTATTTAAATTTGTATAAAACAAATGTTTTATCAATCTATATAAAATAACGATTTGGCCATTTTTCTTAACGATTTTTCATCTCATTTTACAGCAAAGGATTTACTACCTCTTAGTCTTATGACATTATTTATAACTGTATCTATGATACGTATAATGTCCATAAAACTTAAATTTAATTTTTAATAATGAAAATATTTAGATACGAATACTTGCATTATTTGTATGGAAAAAGAAAAGACAGTAACCATGTTACCCTGCGAACACATGTTTTGTAATAAGTGTGTTCTTTATTCTTTAATCTACCATAAATTTGAAAGCTGTCCCCAGTGTCAGGTTAAATTGTCTACAGTTATTGGTCTGAGTATGTATTTATTACTCTATCACTTANGTCTACAGTTATTGGTCTGAGTATGTATTTATTACTCTATTACTTAATAATTATTTCTTATAATAACATATACTATTTATATCATAATATTTTCTACTTTATAGAAATAAGTTATTTGACTCGTTTGTAGAATAATTATTATAAAGTATAATACTCAATAAAACCAAATTTTTTAAGATGAATTCAAAATTTTAACTTTTACTGGATTTTCTTTTTAATTTAGCCCCGACAAATATTTCAATGATTAATTATGAACAAGATAGTCAAACTAAACAATTAAGACAGCCACAAATGACTGAGATGACTTTTGAACATTTTCAAGAGCTACGTGATAATGTTGAAAATTTCAATATTTCTAATGCTGAATTGTTGGCCCGCTATGTTTATCTACGACGTGATGAGAAACCTGACAAAGAGCTATCAAAAGATATTCAATCAAAAGTTGGCTTTAAACAGTTTTCCCAGTTAATAAAGTTACGTAAATGTATTGTACGATGTACAAACACTTCGATGGAATTATTGGTATACATGGATTATTTTAAACTACATCTCGATGATTTCGAAAAAAATATGCTAACAAAATTTTACTTGAGACAAGGTTTAATTCCCGAACGAGAACATTTAATAAGAGAACAATATTTCTTTAGCTCTCATTAAATAAATTAGATAAAATGAAATGAATAAACTATCTATAAACATTATTCTGAAGTAATATAAAATAATCAAATTTGTTTGTTATGTATTATACAACATGATAGTGATACCATTATAATAGTGATATTACTAAAAAAAAGGTATTGGAACATTGTTTAAATTTAGTATTATTAAATCTATCCTCTATTTTACCTCTTATTTAGTTAAATTTTATTATTAGTAATACAAACCAAACTTAATAATAAAGTATATCTACATTTTTCATTTAAAAAAATTATCTTAAAATATTATCTTTGTTCAAGGCAAGACATACATTATGTGTTCTTTCAAAAATTAGATTATCATATACAAAAATGTATACATGATTTATACTGTAAATAGAGATGTAAAAAAACCCAGCACAGTGGAGTCGCGGCATAGTGGGGACGTTGCATAGTTGGGTCCAGTATAGATTTAATCTGACAGTGATTAAAATCACTATCATAAGAAACGCTTCGATGCAAATCAGTAGATAGTGTTTAATTCTAAGAAATTGGTGGATAATTACAAAAGCTGCATGATCTGCTAGTTCCTTATTAATACCCTGATTAAGATAAAGAATGTCGAATGAAAAAGGGATTATTAAAAAATATTATTTCTCATAAAAAAATTGTGTTGATTCATACATTTTTCAATGAGTTGTAGCATTATAAAGTTAAAAATGTAACCAACCCAACCCAACATCAACTCCTATTTCCATAATTATATCCAGATTAGTAATTCGTTTAATTATCTATTATATAATTTTTATAATTAATTATTTTCAAATTATTATCGATTTTTAATATATTAAAAGTAATCATTTTGAACCAACTTCTTTTTGTCCTTTAAAGTGAAAGTTTAAAAAAAAAAAATATGAATTTATTACCATAACTTTTAACTCAACTTGCAAGTTTGAAATAGATATCATTAAATAGAAAAAAATGAAATTGGTAGAGTATTTCAAAAACAACAATAACACTTATTCCCTTAATTTTACCCCGATTTATAATTATAATATATGAATACATAATAATTACAGTAATTAAATTGAGTATGAAAGTGGTATTCAATAATATAATATTGTAATTTTTACGGAGATATTATAAAAATAAAAAGGAGTTGTATATTCATATACTTTTAATGCGTATACAAATTTAAAGGAATTGATGCAATACTTTTTAATAAAAAAATTTTGTTATTTATGAATAAATACACTAAACAAAAGGAACTTTCATCAGAAAAAAAAATATACTTTTCTAAATAAACTTTTCGCGATGTTTTCAAATGTGCAATTAAACTTTTTTTATTACTTCTAAGTTTTAATATTATTACTTATTATTAAAAAATAAGTATTTACATATAAAAAAAAATAATTAAGAACAAAAAAAATTGTATTAAATTAATACTGATTTTGATTTTTAATATGTTAAAGGTAATCATTTTGAACCTATTTTTTATTGTCTTTTAAAGTGAAAGTTTTAATGAAAAATACCTTCTCAGCTTCGCATCGAAGCTAAAAAATGAATTTGTTACCATAACTTATAGTTCAACTTGCAAGTTTGAAATTGACATTATTAAATTGAAAAAAATGAAATTTTTAAGATTAATATGCAATCTGGAAATTTTATAATTACTAATTACAGTACATTTGTCAGAAAAATTCGATTTTTTTACATTTTTATCGTAATAGATAACTGAAATAGAAAGAATAGTAATCATATCCTAATAACTTTTGGTGTTTAAAAAAATTCTGCAATTGAAATATTCAGAACTTAATTAATTTTAATAATTTACTTTAATTAAATGAACCAATCAAACCAAAGTAGTTAAAAAGATTTACTCAATTGAGCATATTATCAAAAATATAATTATAATTGTAAAACTCCATCGTTAACTTCAGGTGAAACTAAAAATCATTTTTTTTTTAAATTTATGATTTATATAGCAACATATTACTAAAAAATTTGGCATATTATAGACTGGTAGTAGCACACAGAAATAGAGTTAAAAAATTAATAAATTATAAAGTAAAATTATTTACTTTTGTAGTTGAATACTTTTATCATATCAAATTTAATTCGACAATAAATAATTTAAGAATATTAAAAATTAATGATTTTAATTGTTTGTATGGACAAATCTAGTTAAGCTACTTTTTATTTGAATAAGGAATATTTTTTTGATTTTTAAGAGTAATAACTTAAACTAATCATTAACTTAAATATCATAAACTTAAATGAATCATTTGACGTATCGTTGAAAAAAGTAGGTCTAGTGAGGGTTGGCAAAATAAATCGTAGCCAGAAAAAGAACCACATAGTAAAATAATATTAACATGAATATCAATTTCTTCTCACGAGGGGAGACTATAGTGATAAGATCCTTTATATTTATTGAAATTATTGAATCTAAATGAGATAAATATCAAATGATTTGAAAATTCTATTCTAACTCAAAAAAAAAATGCAAAATTTTAGAAGCCACAAACGGATTTGAACCTCGTACCCTAGGCGTTAAAGATCAAGGTGTTACCCATTCGGCAACTATTCGTTGATTTTTGTTGCATGATAAAATTGGCTATTTAAGCTAACTCAAATTTAAAAATTACTTTTTCGACTTTAAAAAAGTAAAAAATGTTAATAAGTATAATATCATATGTCTTATGAACTTTATTCTATGTCAATGAAATTATATAATATTCATGAAAGTCAGTTTATTCCCCTAATAAAATATTTTAAAATAAAATAAAATACAAAACCTAGAATTTTAATAAAAAATAGCATATTTTTAAATACGGTAGCCTTTTGCGCATAGAAGATAGGTCGTCGGGACAAATTTTTTTTTTTCATTTAGTAGTACATAAAATAAGCTTTAATTTGATATATGTTTAAAGGACGCAGTATTTCCGGAACATTTTCAAAAATTAAGTTGAAAAAGTTAGTTTTTGTAAAAAAGTTGCTATTTTAAATCCCCCCTGTGAGCAGAATAAGTGTTAGATTTTCAAAAAAAAATGATATCAAATGAAAGAAAATTACCTAAGGTTTCAATATAAAGAAATATTATTTTGATTAGTTAATATTTGAAAAAGTTATGGCAGTTTTAAGTACAAAAAACATCGTTATAAAAGGTGATTTTTATCGCAAATATTACATTTTTTTTATAATTTCGACAGCCATTTGCACATAGAAGATAAGGTGTCGGGACAAATTTTTTTTTTTCATTTTATAGTACATAAAAAAAGCTTTAATTTGATATATGTTTAAAGGACGCAGTATTTCCGGAACATTTTCAAAAGTTCAGTTGAAAAAGTTCTATTTTTTATACAATGTTTCAAAGTTTGAACCCCCCCTATATAAGGGGAAATTGTCTAATTTTAATAAAAAGTATGTCAAATGGAAGATGTACTTATAATGTATTTAGAAAAAAAAAAATTGTGCTGATACATGCATTTTTCGAAAAGTTATAGCATTTTTAAGTTGAAAATTAAAAATTGAAAATCGAAAATTTTAACACAAAAATAGTGTTTTTTTAACTACGGCAACCGTTTACATGCAGAAGATAAAGTGTCGGGACAAATTTTTTTTTTTCATTTTATAGTACATAAAATAAGCTTTAATTTGATATATGTTTAAAGGACGCAGTATTTCCGGAACATTTTCAAAAATTAAGTTGAAAAAGTTAGTTTTTGTAAAAAAGTTGCAATTTTAAATCCCCCCCCATGAGCAGGTTAAGTGTTAAATTTTCAAAAAAATTATATCAAATGAAAGGAAAATATCTAAGGTTTTAGTTTAAAAAAAAATTATGTTGATTTGTTGATTTTTGAAAAAGTTATGGAAGTTTTAAGAAAAAAAAGTGAAAAAAATGACAAAATTTGTCGATTTTTAAATTTGTAATTTTTTTGGATATTTCCCCCATTTGCGGGGAACGAGGGAAAATTTTTAAATTTTTAAGGGTAATGTCTTCAACTAGATACAATTTGTGATCTTTTGACGTATTGTTAAAAGAAATCGGTACAGTGAGAGCTGAGAAAAAGTAGTGACAGACACAAAAAAAAATAAACACATCATGGTAAAATTAATACCTTCTCAGCTTCGCATCGAAGCTAAAAAAGGTCAAACGGGTAATAATAGTAATGAAAAGATCGATTTCTTAGCCAAAGCCACTTTAAATTTCTTAAGTCCTAATTTTATCCTTCAACTAATCTTGTAAATTTATTCAAATTCTCTTTAACAAAAACACGGTCAACTAAATGGTTCTCTCTTTTCCCTAATTTTGCACAATGGTATAGGTCCATTGTTACAAACTATCCAAATTTCCCATAGTTTCACCAATTAGATATGCCTAGTAAGGTTATTTAATTTTCTCTTTTTAAAAATGAGCAATATCTTCTATCCACTTTTACTATAAATTAGAACTAAAAATAAAAATCAAACATGAATAAATTAATTTAATTTATTTAAACCCAAATCTTCGTAGAAAGATTTTATAACATTTTCAGAAAATTCAATAAGTTGGTTACAAAAAGATAAAACAATTTCCTCAATCATCAATTCAGTAAAACGAGTGTTATCAACTGAATCAGTGTTTTTCAAAAATGGAAATTCATGTATGACAATATTTGACAATATATTTTGGGATGGACATTGTTTCTTGTGGAATACTTTTAATCTATTGTCAAATATTTTACTTCGAAAATCTGAGAATTTTTTTATGTATGATCTTGCTATTTCCTTTTTGCTGACATCACTTTTACTATCCAAATCATCCAGTGAATAATTTCCAAATTTTATTTCCTTGGATAAGTGTGTAATTAATGAATATAAACCTTTTATATTCGAATGTGAGCTATCATGATCATATTCTCCTATTAATGTATTTAAAGAAACTAATGTTCTAATCATTATATCGAGCATTTTATCTGTCTTATGAATTGTGTCGAAAAATTGACGCACTAAGTTAAAATATGTATAATCAGATCCACATAAATTTAAAATATCACATACATATTTGTTATACTTGAATATTACTTCTGTATAAATGCATTTGATCAATCTTATTATATGTAGTCTTTTACAATGAAAATTTAGTTTATTAACTGGGTCCCTGAGAATACGGTCTCCACTTATAATTTGATCATTAAATTCAACATTAATATGTTTCAATGATACCCATCCACTTTCTTTAGTAATTGTATTTATTAAATTGATTCCTTTGTTTTGATTAATGTTTGATTCAATTGGGATTCTGAAATTACTAAATATATATATACGTATATATTAGACTTAAAAAATGTATATTATTAAAAATTAAATACACATAAACAGTGCTTATTAAGCACAGTAGTTAAAATATATTATGAAATGTAGAATTGAGATAAGACGAAAAA